ACAAATAAATTAAAAGCCAATAGAACGCATGTGTCGACCGGTAGATGTATTTCGTAAAATTGGAACGGCCTTTAGCAAGGTTCCCAAAATTTATGCTACAGTCTCGCTCCCTTACAGAGACCATTAAAACTGTCCGTCCATCCGTTTTCAGATTTAAACCAAACGGTCGACCGTCACGAATCTAAAAAACATTTATCACTCTCGATTTTCCGCCTACAGATCCATCGCACAGTGCTACCGTTATTATAAAATTAAGATAAAATTGATAAAAGGATTGAAATCGTTACCTAGATTAAAGTTTATTTTTAGTACAAGCTCCACTGTTACTGTACTATACTGTACAAAAAAACTGAAGAAAATTAAATCTCACTGATAAATTGTAATATTTTTTTTATCTAAATATTTCGAAAGGCATTTGTTATTTGTATTTATTTAATCGTATAAATCAATAATTTTTAAATCTTTACATATATATAGCACTTAAAATATTTTATTTTAATTTAGAATGTTAAATATTGACAAAAGTAATACCCAATTTGTCACTGCCTCCACAATTTATAACAAACGTTTCACGCTATATAATTTTCTTTAATGACTACAAAGTTGCACGTTCGTTAACACTGTGCGTCCCCCAACCAAGGAGCGTGTTTTCGGAATATTTTTCATGGATCGTTGTTAAGTAAACGCGGTGCGGGCAAATTTTATGGGCTCGCTGTGATTCTAATCACGTTATACCTACAGTATTAAAGGTGACCGAATGAAATGGTACACTTTCATAACCTTTTAATCGATCTCATTCTTTGGATTCCTATTTTATAATGGAATTAATAAGTCACGAATGGGTTTTAGAGAATTACATCAACAAGAATGAATAAGCCGTTGACGTTTTTATGAATAATGAAGTATTTTATGGGCTTTGCCTACTAATTTTATTATAACGAGTGTAACTGCGACAAGTAATAATTTTAAATATTTTTTTTTTTATTTTAAAGCACATAAAAAGTTATGAAAAGGTAGGCATGTCTACATGTTTGTATTAGTCATAGAATGCAGTAAAACATAAAACATGACCACATTTTGAAAAAACACGTTTTCTATTCAACCCAAATAAGGAAGGAGGCAAGCACATATATTTCCGTCTCTATGTAAACACTATTAACAAATACGTGTTTAGGATTCATTAGCTTCATTAATGGTATTTACCCTCGCCGTTATAATAATTGTAAATTTCAAACTTATATATATTTTACTGTCGTTCAGATTCGAATTCTCAGCAGTCATAGGAATTATATTAACTACTAAACCTCATCATGAAATTGTGTACCTATATACATATTATAGAGAGAAATTATTTAATTGTTTGTTTGTAATGAATAACCACAAAAATTATGTATATAACCGATTTTAAAAATACCCGTACGAAGCCGGACCGGACCACTAGTTATTAAGTACACATCAAATACTAACGTATTAAATATTAAACAAGTCATGTACTTAATGTTTTAGACATATATATCATAAGAGCTAAATATTGATCTTATTATTATTATGTAGTCATGATAACTATTATTACGCTAACAAATTATTACCACACAGTTTAGACAGTTTAAATTCAAAGTTTTCCAAGCAAAATATCAAGCAATACGTGTGTTAATGTTTATAGCGAGCGTATAAAAGCAACATTTAAACAAGGGCTAATTGCTAAATGAATGTCCTACACGTTTACTCCATTACAGAAAGTAACCCGTGCAATTTTACTTTACTCACTGCCGGTTGGCAATTTTGGTGCTTTGACATTCATTTATCTCTATTATAGATCTACGGCGGCGTTGGCCGCACCAACGAGTCCCCAGTGTGTCCTCCCCTCTACTAGTAGAGGAGATAATGACGAAGTGCTGGAGGGTAGGTATCTATAGACGTTGCGGTCATGTATTTTGGGGTATTTTATCTGTGTTAACTTAAACGTTATTTGTATTTATCATTTCAATTTAACGCGCGGGGTGTAAATGTTTGTAATATTTTGATTACCCGCGACGGTATATTTATAATAATATTTATATTAGATATTGTTATTAAGTACCTGGCTAGATAGAAATATGTGTACTGAACTTATTTAAAAAAAAAAGGCATATATTAAAATTGGGTACAGAAATGGTTAATAAGTAATAATTTATTCAATTCACTATAAACAAATAGATACATGGCTTCCCTATTATTCTATATATTATATTGTATATTTCGTCAATGTCTTCCCCTTACAATTTAAATGTAGATCTTTTTTTATTGTCGCAATGTTTATTTATTTATGATTAGATATTTAACATTTACTAACTTTTAAACAGTATAAAATAAAGTAGGCCGGCTACTTTGATCGGCATCTGTTTATCTGCCTATTTCTAAACTACACAACAAATACAGTTTTCATTGTCATTTCAAACAAAAATATAATAATAAGTATATGATTATTACATTTTTATTGAAATATTCTTTGAAGGTTAATGTAACTCTTAAATGTCTTAAATGTGGCTATATGTTTTTTATTAACTTCCAAATTTATGAACCGGTTTTAATTTAGTTTTTTATTATGTACACAAAGAGTGATTGACAGTTACATTAATAGAAAATGTTCGTAGATATGATTCCAATAAAACTATTTAATTTTTGAAGATCTGAGGGTCATTTTTATTTGATGAAAGACATTAAGTAAAATAAATTAAGCATACTTTGAGAGAAACAGCGTAAAAATACAATAATTAAAATACCAGTATATTAATGATAATAAAATGTACAACATGGTAACCTTGACTTGCTTCAGCATCATCTGGAATTTGCAGTATAACCAACTACACACGAACTTGCATGGCGTTGAAATTACTAATACGGAAGACAACATCATAATCTTCAGAAATAGCAACGAGTAAAGGGTATTATGGGAATCTTAAAATACTCCGCAATATCTATAACACTGACCATATCTAGACGACGTACTCCAAAATGATACCACTTTTATAGTTCCACTAATGTTTTTTTTTATTTATTTACATAACAAAATTATAGTTACAAAACATTACATGAAGATATACAAGAATGGTATGCAAAAATTCAAATCATTCTTTTTCTTTTTTTAAATATACTATATGGCTTCTTTCCAGCCATGACCATACCGCCCACCAAGGACTATATGACAATATTGTCCTTAATCCGCCCACCATGAATAAATACTCCACAGAAATAAGATAACTAGAGAATAAACAATGTCCTTGGTAGAAATTTAACAATATTACACTACATATAATAATGAACAAACATAATATAATATTTTGAACTGCTTTAGACCTAAATTATAGTTATCAATTAATATTAGACGCTCACTCTTAAAATAAACAAAATAACTTATTCAGTTAACGGTAGAAAACAAAGTTTTGATACAGCCCTTTTTATAATGCTGTTTTTGCAGCGTAAACTAACAACACATGTAACACCGTCCATTCCCGGGTGCTTATCAACTATGATACCATAAAGCCATCGTGCTGGCGGAAGATCATTCACCATCACCAACACTATGTCACCTTTTTGTAGTTGTGGGACCTTATGATTACATTTATATCTATGATGAAACCGAAGGAGATGCTCAAGTAAACTTCTATATATTATTAATGAGATTATAATGTGAAAACTGTGTAAAATAATGTACTGATGATATGTACCATTAATATTAGTACATTGTGACTGGCCATCAACTCTTAGAGTTTCATCTTTATCATTCCACGGATTCCAGAAGGTAAGTACAATTTTCTTTTCTAATCTACTAATAATAATACTACCTATAATAACACTACTGCTAATCTTTCTTTTTTCGTTCAGGTTCTTTAATTCATCAACCAGGTAAGTTTCTTGAAGATTCTTTAGATACTGTAACCATTTATTCAAAAGTTGTATTAGTAATTCTTCATATAAACCTATTTCAGAGAACCATAACTTTTGAATGAATATTTTTGCTCGAATAATAACAGACATTAACCATTCAACTGAATTAAAAATCCAAGAAATATCAGAAATAACTTTTCTTTTAGTTACAGGTGTCTTCACTTGAGGCAGTTGTACAACATATTCAAAATGATCACTGCTTCGATTCCAGGTAAGTCCTAGAATTTTCATAACACTATTTATTTTTAATTTCACGCTTCCTTGTGAAGCTTCTTCTTCATTAATTACTTTCAATAATTCATCACCATTACTACTCCATTTCTGAAGCTCAAATCCTCCTTTTTTCAATAACTCATTTATCTCCTTATAGATTTGAATACCTTCTTCGACTGACTCACAACCTGTTAGTAAATCGTCCATATAAAAATGATTTAGAACTCTTTCAGCAGCAAGAGGATAATTTTTGCCTTCATCATAAATAATTTGATGTAAACACCGAACAGCAAGGTAAGGTGCTGATGCCGTTCCAAATGTTACTCGTAATAGTCTCATATGTTGCAGTTCACTTTCCGGATGATCACGCCATACCAGACGTTGAAAGTTAGTATGTCTTTCTTCAACCTTTATCTGTCTATACATTTTAATTATATCAGACACAAGACATATAGGATAACGACGCCAACGTATTAAGAGATGACGCAAGTCAGCTTGAAGAGTGGGTCCTACTAATAAATCTTGATTTAAAGATACGCCATTTGTACCAGGACAACTTGCATCGAAAACAACTCTTACTTTTGTAGTGGTTCTATCCTCCCGCACCACTGCATGGTGTGGTAAATAGACTGCTTCAGGATCATCTTGTTCAGTTATTGGTACTTTCTCCATATGTCCTAATTCTAGATATTCTGAAATAACTTCGACGTATTTAATTTTTAAATTAGGATCCATTGATAATCTTTTTTCTAGTTGCAGAAATCTTTTGGTTGCAATAGTTTTAGAATTGCCATATTTACAACTGGGATCATCACTACGGGAGGGAAGATTAACTATACATCTCCCTAAACTGTCCCGCTTCATAGTGTTTGTAAATATCTTCTCACATTTCTTTTCTTCCTCTGATAAATATTTTTAATATCTACACTGTTTTCAGCTTCCAACTCCCAAAATTTCTTTAATAAGTCACCTTCACTTACATGAGCAATATGCATACTAATCAGTGGCCTTTGTATATTATTTTTATTTAAATTAACAGGGCCAGAAATAATCCAACCAAGCGTTGTTTGCTGAGCTATAGGTACACCTGGTGGACCTTTGATTACACCATCTAACAAGATCTGACTGTAAACATCAGCTCCAAGTAGAATATCGATTTTGTTTGGTGTGTGAAATAATGGATCTGCCAGATTGATATTTGAAAACTCTGACCACAGTTCTACAATAACTTTCCTCTCAGGGAGGATTGAAGTAAGTTTACTCAAAACAAAAGCTTGAACCTTAAACGTAAAATTGGGATCATGAAGTGATTGTAATGAAAGCGATACCATAGACTTAGAGGTCAATGAATGACCCTGATCACTTCCTAATCCTGTAATGACGCTTTTGTATGGAATCTTCTTTAAGGTCAGCAATTGCACAGCAGATTCAGTAATAAAACTAGCTTGAGAACCTGGATCTATTAAACATCTCAGTGTGATACCATTACCTGATTTCGATTGTGCGCTAACTAATGCTGTTGCAAGTAAGACTTGACAGTTTGAGGTCGAAACACAGGCTGTGACACTAGTGGATTGATCTACAGACGATGATGTTGTTGCATGTGCAACGACATCTTGTTCAACCGATTGATTTGCGATACCTGTAGTGTCGGTTGAATTGATATTGGTAACATTTTTTAAATGGAGTAGAGAATGATGCTTCCGTCTGCATAAACGGCAACGAGAGATTTGACGACAAGCAAATACAGAGTGCCCTGAACATAAACAGTTAAAGCACAAACCCCTGGATTGGACAAATTCGCGTCTAGTGTTAATTTCCTCTTTAGAAAACTTTTTACAATTTGCTAAACGATGACTTTCAGAACAGTAAGGACATATAAAATTGGTTGTGTAATATACTTTAGGGCTATTATTAATAACATTACTTTTATGCACTACATTAGACTTATACAATTTTGGATCAATAAACTCTAACGCTCTAAATCTAGTTTCTAGAAAGTCTTGGAACTGCTTCAAGGTAGGCAACTCATCTGAGAACTCGCTGACTTTGAACTCCCACTGCTTGCGAGACTCCACATCTAGTTTTTGACTTATAATATAGATAACAAGCACGTCCCAAGTACTGATGTCTATTCCTAAATTGTTAAGCCCATGAAGACATTCATTAGTAGTATCTAGCAACTCCTTTATTGTACTAGCTGATTCAGTACTGATGCTTTTTTGATTCATAAACCTTTTCAGAATACAGTTTGAAAGATATTTTTTATTATTATATCTTTTCTCCAATTGTTCCCAACAAATAGTATAATTATTGTGAGTAATCGGTACATGACGTAGTAATTGCTCCGCTTCCCCAACTAATAATCCTTTCAAGTAATGTAGTTTTTGTACGTCATCTAAATGTTTATTATTGTGTACCAATGATACGAACAGATCTCTAAAACTAATCCATTCTGAATATTTGCCTGAGAACGGTGATATAGATATCTTGGGCAGCTTTAAATTGCAATTAGGATCTTTATTACTATTGTTTTGTTCAGAACAAGTCGCACTTTCAGTACTGGACTGCCTTAAACTAGTCAATGTTTCCTTCAGTTGAAATTTGTATTCTATATATAACTCTTCAGTAGAATCATAGACATTATTACATACGTAGGAACTAGTATTCAAATCTTTGTAATCTGTATTTTGAATGAGTTGTGTATGTGTCGAACTAAACTGACGCCATAATTCTTCTAAAGCTTCTAATCTAGTACCAATATAATCTATGGAACGAAGTCGTTCCTTGGGTGCCTTTTTGAAATTGGATTTTGCTCTACTAATTCTTTCGTTTAAGTCAAGCTGTACTTTTATATATGAAACCATTGTATAAGTTTAATTTTAAAGTTTAAATAATATCCAAAGTTTTTACAAGTAAATATTTATATGAAATGTTTAGAGTAAATTCCTTAGTCTTCTGTAATTAGATAAATAAAATGTACTCACAGTTCACCAGCACTTATCACTTACAAACACTATGTTTAGTTCTTCTTCAATGTCCTTACGGCTGCAATATGACGATACAATATTCAGCAACAACAATTGACGCTCGCCGACTTCGTACAAAAATGCAGTTTTAAATTTGTCGTTAATCCTCGATAATCCGGCTCGAAGGACCAAAATATAGACGACGTACTCCAAAATGATACCACTTTTATAGTTCCACTAGTGTTTTTTTTTTATTTATTTACATAACAAAATTATAGTTACAAAACATTACATGAAGAGATACAAGAATGGTATGCAAAAATTCAAATCATTCTTTTTCTTTTTTTAAATATACTATATGGCTTCTTTCCAGCCATGACCAATATCAATAAATGAAAGTTATTAATTTCAATCATGTAGATCTTCAGTTTGTTTTATTTTATTTCATCTTTACTTGAACTCCCAGCAATTGTTACACTGATACCATTTAATCTTTGTTTGCCTGATGTACTATCATTTATAATACATACATAATAACTCCGGAATATATGTATAAAGTTATTTTCGATCGAGCCGGTGATTTCAATTTACTAAATTATTTAAATAGCTTTCTAGTAGTCCTGCCTTCCTTGTTTCCAGTTACAGGTGTGCCTGTTTGTCTTTTTATTTATTATTACTACTTACTATTATGTAGTGATCACCTAAACAACAACACCAATATTATATTAATTTGTATCATTGTGAATTAGTGATGCAATATTATTACACTTTGATTTATATTCAGTGCAAATATCAATACAAGAGACATAATGAGTTGCCTATTTTCCACAGATGAACAATAGGCTTGTTTACCGTTCTCAATAGAATAAAAATATTATTATATTGTCTAGTACCAGTAAGACTTGCTTGAAAATAAAAAAAATCATACACGTCCTAACGTGTTTACGATGATACATGTTTTTATTTTTAGCATTGAATTTTGAATCTCCATGTATCAAGAAAGCATTTCTATTTTACCTCTCTAGGAATCATATTAATAAATGGAATCCATAAAGAAATAAATACGAGTACGTGCCTAATTTTATTTGAAGCACTGCATTAAGTGTCCTGTAATATGTCCATTAATTCGAATTCGAATGACGGCAAATTGTGAATAATAAAAAGGATATCTGAATCCGTTACTTTTCAAATGACAAATTAGCGTCAGCGAGTGATACTGATGTACAAAATTAATTATTGTAATATACTAGCTACTAACAGTGGCTTTACTTGTACAGAAGCCATTTCCTCTCGTTTTTATAATAATTTATTTTTATCATCAATAACACTTTATGCTCAGTGATAACATCAAATTTGAACTTGTCTCAATTAAAAAATGGGTTTTTATTTTTAATGAATTTACCTTATTTCGTCTCAAAGAAAACATCGCTTTATTATTAAAATTTAATTTCACTTACAATTGGATTTAATAATGAAATTTCGACCATTGAGCATTTTATTTTGATGTTTTAGTTTCAGGTAGTTTTGTGTCTAAAATTGCGTGATATAACAAGACTATATAATTATATCCTTCGTCAACGCGATAATTATTAGTGGGTAGCACGGAGTAAAGGTCACATCTATATCGCTCAAGATTATCTCGACATTATGCTCCTTAAGTTCTGTTATTCCTTGTTTGATTTTTTTTCGGATTTTCTGATCAGCATATTCACATATAAACTTTTTGTATCCCATAGCGTCGACTGCATGAATCACTATATAAAGTGTCCTATGTGGTAATCCTTAGCCTATATAACTGTATATATCCGTGTATCAAATTAAATGCGCTCCGTTCAATATGTTTTACACGAAAGAGTAACAAACATCCATCCATCCTCTCGTAGTAATGGAGAGATAAGTACCCATCGCTATCAGTACATCCTATCAGGTTATCCTCCACGCGTTTCTTCCTTGAAACTATCGTGACTAATTTATATTTGCCTTATCAAATTTTATTATCCAATATTAATTGCTTAATTCCAATAAGCATAATAATATTCTCTTCTACTTCTTCACCTTGTGGATGTCGTAAAAAACTACTAGAATATCAAAGTACAATACTCGCATTTAAGCTATAGCAAACTCAAAATAAAACCCTATACAAGGCCATCCAGTCAATGCGATAATAAAGAGTATTATGTAGGGTATATATGCGATAATATTCTTCACTTTTGTGGGGACACTCATACTCAGAGAATTGTATAATAACATTGCGCAGATATTAGCAATTGGCAACTAATGAAAGCTACTATGGGTATCACAGTATTATTTACAGTGATACTTATATCTATAAGTGACGGTTACCACTTTCTATCTGATCAGCTTATTTCTCATTTTATATTCTTAATTTACAATTCTTCGTTAAGGAGCTAAATAAAATTACAAAATAAAGTTTTATAGTTGGTTTAATTGTCATTTGTTTTAATGCATTATATATTTAAATGAGTCATAACAAAATTTAAAGTAGTAAGTATGTATAAATAGGCTTACACTACCATTATGACTGTAGGTATCATTGATAAAAGGTATCGTGGCTTGGTTATGCGATAATTAATTTAATGAATAATTTGTATATTTATATAAAAAAAAACGCTTCATTATGAAAATTTAATTTCCAATTAGATATATTTTCAAGCTTAATAGAAACTGGAATGAGGAATATTCCTACTATTAAATAAAAAAAGATCAACCATAATCTAAGCTGTTTTATATAATGAATGTTGGTTTAACCCTTGTTTTTACTATAAACCTCATTAATGAGCCAAGTATTAGCCTAAGGCTGGCTTTTTTTTTAAAGTCAAAGTGAAATGTTTTATTTTGGAGAAAACCTTTGATTATTTTCTTTTAATATATTTTCCCTGTAGTTTTCACCCAATAACTAAGCCCGATTTTCTTTTGAGGAAAAAATAAATTCATAATTTATGATCAAATTAAACAGATTTAGTAAGAATTTATAAACTCAAAATAAAGAAAATACGTCTAGTAAATATCAGTTGGCTTCACCATATTTTTTCTTCTCAGACCAGTTTCTATTCAATTGGTACCAATATATATTCACTAAGTACAAAAATATTAATATCAGAGTATCTATAAAGAACATAAGCATTTAAATTAATGTACAAAAATAGCCAATCAAAATGTATTATTTGTACTCCTTCCCATCAGAGCAACTGGTTCAAATTGTGATTACATGTCAAGTATAATATGCAGGTAAATGTTATAAGCACGTCGTACATAATAATATTCAAGAAAATTTTCGTCTAAATGTAACTAATAAGTATGCTATAACAATGTTCAGAGTAAAATTAACGACATATAATATTTGAAATTAGTATCTATATTGCTCATATTTGTACAAAGTTTTCATCGAGTATTGGTGTTCTAATTCGAAAATATACAATACTATACAATTATACATGAATATAAATATTCATTTATTGAACATCTTTTTACAAAGCACTTAATAATATTTGAGTACCCATATCTTCAGAACTAGTAAACAAAACATTACATCGACCCAGAGATCACTCTATAATAGGCGAAAGATTATTCGAGGTTTTTATAACATGACTAAATAAGTTAAGTACAAAATTGGGATTTAGTATTATTATTATAATGTCTTTGTTTCCACGGGTTATTATATTTACACGACTATATACAAAGCTATCACATATTACAATTTCATTCATATCACTATTTACATTATTGCAAGTTCATTTTTCAAAGTCGATAAGACGATAATTCGCCGTCATAGACGCACGTCGTAAAGAAATAACGTTTACCACATTGTCCTTAGGGTAAAACTTTTGTTAGACGTATACTATGTGCGGTTTCTCTGGTGTTCTGTGGTGTGGGATAGTTTCGTACGCGAACTGTTGATAAATGTGTTCTTCACTATCCTCTTGATAATAAGGATTTTTATCCACACTGTGCCAAGGGGGATTTAAAGAATGAAAATTATTGGTTACAGAAGACCCAATCATTAAGTACCGATCTACTTCTCTCTTGTTCTCCTGCTCTCTTCCTCTTGTTGAATACCCTAACCCATTTCCTAATTTGGACACATCACCGTTCAACATAACACTTGTCATCACCTGCTTCGATTTGTCGCCTTTACACTTCTTTAAAGGTCCCAGGAAATACAAAATTCCACCGACTACACTAATAACAATACTCACAGTTAGCACCACTACTGCTACTATCACCCATCCACTTGAGCACCCAAATTCCGATTCCGGAATCTGTACAAATAGAGCGCCCTTCAAGTGAACCGGGCCTGCACACTTCACATCCTCATAGTCTATTTTTAGAATCAAGCTTGAATTATCAACTATTTTGTTGTTTATTTTACTATCTTTTCCCAGTTTCCATAGCCACAGCAACGAACAATTGCATATAAATGGATTTCCAGAAATCTCCAATTCTTGCAATCTATCTATTGGGAAGTGAGATGCCTCTAATGTTTCCAATGCATTGTTTCTGATGTATATGTGAGTCAGCTTAGGATTACCGTGAAAAAGTCTTGGAGGGACCTCTCTCACTTTTACATTATCATTCATCCATATCTTCTGTAAATTTATATTGTCGACAAAAGCTCTAGAGTCAATTTTGTCAAGTTCGTAAAGTCTGCTTAAATGCAAATGTTTTAAATGGAACAGACTTTGAAACGATAGCGAAGTTATATTCTGAATGAAATTTCCGCTCAGATACAAATGGGACAAATTCGATATTTTAGATAGTGCTGCTGTTGGAATTGATGTAATGTTGTTGTCGCTAAGATCTAAGTGACGCAGTGAAGGTAAATTGTGGAAACCTAATTGGTCCACTTTTTCAATTATATTGCTATTCAAATCTAAATG